GTGAATTTTTAATTTTTCGCGTAGATTAAATAAATGTTGTTTTTTGGTTATAGATGGATCTAAAAAAATTGAACGTTGCATGTTCTGTTGTTACAGCTGACAACAGGAAACCGGTTGCAAAACTACAGGACCTGCCGCAAAATACGCCACAACAGATCCTCTCGGCCAAACTGGTGCAAACCAAATTTGGTAAAAGCGTGCTATTGGAGCTGACTGAAAAGGTTGTATTCCTGCCAAAGCGTGCCACAGAAGCTTTCAAACCGGTTATTGAACAGTTTGATACCGGAGCTTACAGCGTGATATACAGGGGCCAGAAAGCAATACCCGGTGTGCCGAATCTAGTGTGTGATTTCCAAATTGTGCAGGGCAATTAAGTTCTCTGCTTACCAGAGAGAGAGAGAGATAGGGTAAGTTTCAATTACATACACTATTCAAAGGTGATTGGTTTTTCGGAAATTTTTATTTGTAAAAATATTTTCAATTTCTCGCAACTTTCTTATCATTTATTTATTTAATCTAATGATTTGTTTGTTGGTTATGGATGTATCTTTAAACGTAGAGTTTCTGTTGTTGCAGCAGCAGTAGCCAAACTACACGAGTTGCCTGAAACCACAACAGATCTTGTCACAGCGTGCTGTTGCTGGAATTGGTGGTTGTCTTCCTGCTACGCCCACGTGCTACGGAAGGATTCGAGAGAGAGAGAGGGTAAGTTTCAACTTTGTAAATAAATTGATTGATCTTTAGTTATATACATATACGTACACTATGAATGCTTCAAAGGTCATTAAGAGTCTCAAAAGTTGATTTTGGTATTTCAAAAATTGCGTAAAATTATTTTTGATAATTTTTCACAAAGAGACAAAACAATTTGGTGCAAACGTTTAACTAAAAAAATTTGCTCGTGCAATAAAGTTGTTCGTAATGCTACAAAACTCTCAGTTGGTCTCCAACGAAAACTGCAAACAATTATTCAACAGCTTAAACTGATTAGAAAACTAATTTCAAAACAACACCAACATGTAGGAACAGGTTTGAGTGGTTCAGCAGCAGCAGCAACACCACATTCAAAAAGGGTTTTATGGGAAAATGTTTTATCTTGTTTTCAGGGAAGGGTACGAACTGGGATTATCATCAATTTAATTCACAAGGATGTCGATCAATTTTTGAATGATGCATTTAGGATATTTCTGAAAAAAGTCACTGAAATTTTACGTGAGTTTCCATTAATTAAAGTCAATACAACATTTTGTGGTGAATTTATTAAAGCAAAAAATGATCGAGATGTTTGTGACGTTAAATATTTCAATACCAAAAATGTCATTATTGATGTTAGAACAGATCTTTTGATTGGTTCATGTATCATTTTCTCTCTCTCTCGCACAGCATCCTGCTATGCGACACAAAAAACTTGACACTATGTACTCTAAATGGCGCCACAGACGTGACCCAGGTCGTTATGACGTCATCACAGAACCCAAATCATGAATCGAGCTTTGCACTATGTACTCAAAACGACTCCACGGACGTGACCCAGGTCGCTATGACGTCATCACCGAACCATAATTAAATATACGTAGCGATTTCGAAACGACTCGGAACAATCCCTTCCACGCAAACTCCATATTACAGGAACCTGTAATTGCAAGAATTTACCGCACTCACCCGGTATGACGTCATCACAGGTGACAGATGACGTTTGACAGATGACGTTTGACAGGTGACGTTTGACAAGATGGCGGGAAAACATTTCCCCCCACCCCTTTTTCTGGTACCCATAATAAAATACGGGGAGCGCAGCCCTGCGGGTCCCCTTTTTGGGGGGGCGCAGCCCCGCTGGCCCCCTTTTTGGGGGGGGCAGAGCCCTGCGGGCCCCCTTTTTTTGGTGGGGGCGGAGCCCTGCGGGCCCCCAACTACAGCATCCTGTATTACGAACTTCACACTATGTACGCTAGATGGCGCCATGACGTTTGACAAGATGGCGCCGACGATGCATCCACCTTCGTGTCGACGACGGCGCATCCACCACGTGTCAAGAATGAAAGATTGAGGTTATGGTCGGATTTTGATAGTGAAACCCCTGTTGCTGTACTACTTCAAGATATACACGTCAATGTATGGACTGCACATTTTTAACATTCTAGCTGATACGTTGTCACAGCCATAGGCATTGGTTTTAATATTATTTAGAATTTTATGGATATCCTCGACTGAAGCAAATGAAAATGAAAACGTGAGATTTTGATTGAACAGATGGTTGTTATAAAAGTTGATCTGATTATTGCATTTTGCAGAAACTTTCTGAAAAAATGGAGAGAAATAATTATTGATTTCTTCTGCAGAGAAACGTTTTGGTGGAATCAAAGAGCTGTTTTTTTTTGTTTTTATGTGTAGATTTTCCAGAGTTTTCCAGATCTTTTTCGGGCCGTTCTCAGTAGAGATATTTTTTAGATAGTTTTTTTTTGCAGTCCTGATAAGTTGAAGAGTTTGGTTGCGCAAGTTTTTATATGTAGTCCAATCTAGGGCAAGTCTGGTGCGTTTATATTTCTGTAAGGCCTTATTTCTGCTTTTTTGTGCAGTTTTAATTTCATAGTTTAGCCAAGGAGCTTTAGGCTTTGTAATTCTGCATTCACGAATTGGAGCGTGCTTGTCAAAAACACTTAAAAGCAGCGAGTTAAATATATCGAGCTTCTTATCGATGTTTCTTTCATGAAATATTTGTTGAAAATTTAGAGAAGTGAGATTACGAAAACACCTTGTTTTAATTATTTTTGGTTTAGGTTTGGTGAGGTTTATTTTGAGTTTTGCATGAACTAAATGATGGTCAGTTGTTTCGTGACAGGAGATGGTACCACATGATTCAACAAGAGATGTGTCATTAATAAAAATGGGGTCGATTAAGGAACTACATTTTTCGGTCACCCTAGTAGGCTCATTCAATAACTGCGATAAGCCAAACGACTCAAAGCAGGTTAGAGTTGGATTATTTAGATCAAAAAAATTAACATTCAAGTCTCCGAAACATATTAGTATATCACACTGCATAGAAAGGTATGGTAGAATATTTTCAATGCAATGTCATTATTAAAGCTGTTGATGTTTGACTTTGGTGGTCTATAGAAGGCCCCGGTTATCATGGATCTAGAGGGGAGTTTAACTTTTACAAACAAAAGTTCCAAGGTGTTAGTGATCTGAAAATCGAAGGTTATTACAGAAAAGTTGTGTATATTTTTAATATAACCGCAGACACCACCACCCCTGCCATCTCTGTCTTTTCTGGTTAGCGTGTAACCGTCTATGTTTACAGCATTGTCCTGAATATTTTCAGATAACCATGTTTCTGTCACAAAAACAATATCAAAATCCTTCTCCAAAACCAAGCTCCTAAAGTTATTGAACCCCGTAGATAACGATCTAATGTTGACATGTGCTAATTTCATGACAGGTACTTAAAAGTTATAGAAAAAAAAAGAAGAAAAAAATAAAATAAATTATTTGCATCTCTAGGTAGTGCGAATGTAGTGCATAGTGGGTAAAGCAGTCCAAATATAGATAAACAATTTAATATTTTCCAAATAAATAGGCTGAGGTGCAACAAGAGAACAAGTTTCAAGTTGCTTTTTTAATGCAGGAAGGAGGCGAAGATAGCCTTGTTTGAAAGAGCGGAAATAATTCAAGATTTGGTACAACAAAAATTTGGGAACCAGCAAAAAATAATAATAGATTGCACTAAAGGCAATTTGCGGACAGCCTCTGCCTGCCCCCTAGAATTTTCAATTTATTTTTTTTCCTTCTCCTTTTTACTTAAATGTGTTCAGGTACAAATAAAGATATTGAGTATTAATAAAAAAAAAAAAAAATTGAAGACTAATATTCTGTACTTAATTATTCTGATTTCAATAGGTGAAGTTTTAATTTCATTGTCTGAAATTTAATAATCAAAACCACCAAATAGTTAAGTACCATGATAAACCCTAAACCCTAAATCACTGAGTCACAGTAGTAGTTAACTAAAAAATAGAAAACAAAAGAAGTTACATTGGCAATACAAAAATTACCCACCCCACATCAAAACAATGAATCAGCGCATATATTTTATAGCACTCTAGAGAAATATAATAAAAGTAAATAGTGACCTAATACCCAAAATTAAAATTAAATAACTTCAAACGCATTGTAGAGTTAAATCCCATTAATTTGAAATAAAATGGCAAAAAAAAAAGAAATGACAATATATCTAATAATAAAATGGTAAGTTCCGAATTTGAACATTTGTCTGTGAAAGTTTCAGTTTTTCACCATCTACCCTTTTATTTTGATGGTTAAAGTTTAGTTTGGGGTGTATTTTGGCACAATATGTTAGTAAACAGAAAAATGTTACCTTTCATATGCGTCAATTCGGTGTAATTCCTACCACAAAAATCAGTTCCTTTTCCATTAATTTTCACCGTCATCACCATCATTGTTTCTTTCACTCGCGCTATCATTTAAAGAGATTATAGAATCGTTAAGGGATTTTTCATCCCTTATTAGCTCACGATCACCTGCCGAATTTTTTTTGAACACTAAACCGTTATAGGTCCACACGTTATTTCTATCATAAATATCGCGTGCCTTTTTGAAAAGGGCAAGATTTTCGGTCGTAAGGAGTTCAGTAATCATTACCTTTGAACCTTTCAATAGTTTTTTGCTTGCAAACACAGTGTGTCGCATCCACCGATTCCTGAAACGGACTGAGATTGGCCTTGACTTTGAAGACTTTGGTTTGTTTGGTTTTTTACCCATACGGACACAGAAATTTATGTGATTTTTATTTAATTGAATATTGAGTTTTTGTTGAAAAAAGGACAAAACTGTTGTGTATAGGTCTTCGCCCTGTTCTTCGCTTAGACCATGGATCAACAGCGTATTTACGTTGTGTTGTAGCTCCATTTTTGAAATGTCCTGCTTGACTTTGGAGAGTTCCGATTTTAATCGCTTACTTGCATTTTTATTTCTTGCAGAGAAGATGAAATATTTTCCTGGAAGCTGTTTAACTTCTTCAAAAATTCGGAGTTTTCACAATCACCGGATATGGTGATAGGCGCCTGTCTGATGTTTGCGAACTCTGTGCGCAGAATGTTGATTCCGTCATTGAATTGTTTTGATAGTAGATCTACACGTGTATTCACAATTTTCAAAGTAAGATTTTGCGATTTTCCTGCCATTATTGAGGCAACAGGTATTTCTACTGACTTGCACAACACTAACTTCACTAAAACCAACTTAGAAAGGATATTTATTGGTCACTTGTACCCTTTTAAATTGAAAATTTTCAGGAGCAGAGCAATGGCGTGTCTACTCAACCGAACGCACCATCTATGAGATGGCATAGCTCTCCTTCCTCCTGCGCTTCTTCTTTTTGTCTGTCATCGAGATGTTCTTTTGGGCCTTTCCGGCTTTTTTCGCAGCTTTTCCACTAGTCTTCGGCGGCATGTTTGTCAGTCAGTAACAACAATGTTAACTCACAAACGGTCAGAACTAGAATGCCTGAAACGGACCAAAAATCTCGTTATTTAACTTACGTTCGAGTCCCTTCACAAGCTCCGCCCACTGCGCTTACGGCCAATGGGACGCTTCTCGCGTTTCCATTGGTCGCTCGTACGCTTTATATAGCGACGAAAAGTGTCGGAGGCAGATCAAAAAACATTCTGACTTGAGCTCTCGATCAGTGAACACGTTTACTCTTGAGAATACTCGAATCCGAAATTAGTTTGCGACAGCAAGCAGCCAGTTAGTTCGTCCTACTAGTGTCTAGTTCTACCAGCCACGCCATAGAAAACCAAACCAGCAAAGTTCCCACAGCCGAAGACTACTTCAATCTGATGAAGAAGATGGAAACCTTGGAAGCCTCCATGAAAGTTCTCATGGAAGAAAATCGAGCCCTCCGAGAAGCCGCGACCGCCGCCAAAGCCGCCTCTGAATCCGAGCACTCGGACGAAGAGGAGGAATCGGACGTAGACGCGTTCTCGAGCTCGATTGAAACCATGGAAACGATTTCCGAATCTGAATCGTTGATTGAAGTAGACGACGGCTTCACGAACGTTACTAGCCGCCGCAAGCGCAAGGAACGGTCCTCGGAAGACTCGGATCATACTAAAAACTCTGTTTGTTCTAGCAAGAAGCCCAGAAAAAGATGCAGAGGAGCCAGAACCAGCCAAGCCGCCCTATCCGACGACGACGCCAGACACGTGCTGACCCAGCGCCGCCAAGCCACCACGCCCCAACCCATTGCCACGCCAGGACCATCCAGCCGTAAGAAACCAACAGCGAAGCCAGCTGTATTACCAGCAGCGAAGCAAGGAGCTACCAAACCCCCCGCCAAATACACAGTGCCGAGGGGACGCCGAGGCCGGGCCAACATCGCCAGAGTGGTCCCGGCCCCAGAAACAATTAACAACAATTGACGAAACAAAGCAGCCCGACTCAAAGAAAGTGCCCCCAATCGTACTCAGGGACAAAGCCCAGTACGACCAGGTCGCCAAATACGCAAAGGAAGCCAAGATCGACATCTCAAAGGCCTCAGCCACTGACGAGGGAGTACGCATACTCCCTGCCACATCTACTGATTACCGCAAACTGGTGAGTCATTTTGAACATTCTAAAGTGCCATTTCACACATTCCAACTCCCCGAAAACAAACTGCTCCATGTTGTTTTCAAGGGAGTACTGGAATCGACGTCCACGGATTTCATCAAATCCGAGCTAACAGACCTGGGCTACCACCCGGTCGCCGTCACCAGGTGGTACTGGAAGACTGGGGCAAAAAAGAGGCGCCCCATGCGTTGCGTCCTAGTGCTCCTTCCACGAACCGAGAAGGACATTTATGATAACATCGTGACCCTAAACGGAATAAAAAACCAAGGATCAATCAGGACAGTGCCATAATTGCCAACTTTACGGACACGCATCCTTCAACTGCAAGGCTCTCTCCAAATGCGTTAAGTGCGCCGGTGACCACAAAACCGAGGACTGCACTAAAACGCGAGAAGAAGCCCCCAAGTGTGCCAACTGTGAGGGGGCCCACCCGGCCTCATGGGAAGGCTGCCCAAGCCACCCCAAGCACAAGCGACCAGCCCAGAGGAGACCTTTTTCCTGGGCCGAAAGAGCCAGAGCAGCCCCGACCGCGGGCCCCAGCGCCGGCACCAACCACAGAGCCGGCGCAGGCTCCAGACCCGCGGCGGCACCAATCAGCGACAGCTTGCCCGAGACGCTCCGTCAAATTTCTAGTGCCATAGAAACAATGAACAGGAGCTACCAAGAACAACTCACGCAGTTGACGAGCGCGCTGGCGCCCCTCGTCAAACAGCTGCTGCCAGGAACAACAAACAAAGCAGCCCGCAATGATTGTTGAAACTATCCCGCAATTCCTGCGCGTAGTGTCTTGGAACAGCAACTGCGCCCACAACAAGAAGCCAGAAGTCCTACAGTTCCTTGAGGATCACGACATCGACATTGTACTGCTCCAGGAAACCTTCCTGAAGCACCGACACACGTTCAATGTCCCCAACTACTTCACTTACAGAACGGACCGTACAAATGCGCCAGGTGGAGGCACAGCCATTCTAGTGAAGAGAAACATCCAACATCATCAGATCCAGTCGGCTCAATCCGATAAAAGTGAGTCGACCGCAATCCAGATCAAAATGCACCCACAGAAGAAAGTCAACATCTTCTCGGTGTACATCAAACCAAGAACGATCCTCGACGAAGCGGACGTAGGAGTCCTATTTCCAGATGACACAGCAGTCATCGCAGGAGGTGACTTCAACGCGAAGCACTTCCTATGGGGCAACCTGACAACCAACTTCAAAGGCAGAACCATCGACAACGCCGCGGAAAGATACCTGTACAATATCTTGCCGCCAGACGGCCCTACGATCATAGGGGACCGTGTCATCCAGCCTGACTTCCTGGACATCTTCCTGACCAGAGGAGTCAAACAACAACAAACACTGACTGTGAACCACGACCTGTCCACATCAGACCACTTGCCAATCATCCTGGAAGTTGGAAATCCAAAAAAGTTTTTCCCGATCTTCTTCTTTTAATGAGTCGAGACCATAGTATTCGATGGCAGGTATCTCTCCAACATAGTCTTGATTCGCCGATGTGTTGAAATAATGCGGAAAGTACCCCTTCTTAAAATTGTCCTCTAGCCCGAAAGCCTTTGGTAGCGCGGCCAATTTCATTGGAAAGTAATTTAAAGAGTCTAAAAATTTCACGTTTTCTATCTGTAACATTATTATTTTAGATCCTCGCATTATAAGTTCCGGAGATAAATCAGTTTCCGTAAGAATATGATTCAGGACGAATTGATGGTCAAATGCTTGACCGTTATGTGCAAGAACTATAACAGCCTTGAAAATTTTCCTAATTTGTAGAAGGTGAAACATAAAACCACTTACACATCTCTGGCCTTTTAGAATTTGCAGACGAACACCACAACTACTGCATATGTCGATATTTTTATTTAGGCATTCCGAGCAATGCTGCTTGAAAACTAACAGGTTTGGCTGGTGCTCAAAACTCCCATCTTCCAACTGCTTTTCCTGCATAGTTTCAACATCGTAGAAAATGTATAAAAGCTCCTCCGTTTTGGGTTTTCCTGAATCCTTCTGAATATAGCATAAATGTCCATGTGGCTGATGCTTTTTACAAATAGTAGTAGTAGATTTCACAACTTTTAGACAGCCATCACATAATTTAATTTCATTACAAAGGGATTTACCCTTCTCGTATGAGCCTTCACTCTTATGGTGGTTGAAGCAATTGTCGTTCCTGAACCATCTGAGACAGTCGTTACATGTGATTTTCTCCGTTTTGTTGCAAATTGTGGGGCGTCTACAGCTGGGGCATGATCTCACGCATCTATGTTCATTTTTATGGTCGTATGGTACATGGCAATCCTGACAAAAATAGCTACAGCAAAACGCAGCGGTTACCGAAGTAATTACATTATAGTGTCCTGCGTGGTGAATTAAATTCAGATTCTTATTATTGGCTGCACGGTTTGATGGTGGCCCCGAAAAAATCAAGTCACGTCCTTTAGTTTTAGGTCCATATTTATACACAACAATTCGATCGTCCTCTAAATATTGCTGAAAAATTTCCAACTCGTGAATTCCGCAACCTTCTCCGGGAATTTCTACACGAGCTTGCTCCACCAGTTGTTTTGCCCGAAGTGTTTGAATTTTTCTTATATCGCGGCGCACTTTCGTATAGTCAGGGTCTTTATCGACAAATGCTTTGGCTACAACAAGGGCTCGAGGTAAACATAAGTTATCATCGTTTTTTACTACTGCTATTCCGCGACGATGTTGACACTCTTCCTGAAAACTGCTGTACTTATTTCCTCTTCCCCGTCCTACAGGCAATCTCACCGAAGTTACTCCCAAGCAAAAAGTTTCCGTGTCAAGACCCGACGAATTGGACTGGTAAATACTAGCAATTACATCCCAGACGACGTCCATCGTAATTTTTTCAGCCGGTCTGAAACTAATCCCACCGTCGCCTCGTGCAAAATCTTTACAACCAAAACTGATTGCAACTTGATCCGAGGGGAGAAGATCCTTTGTAGTCTTCCTAATAATATCGCCAATCGCCTCCTTAATCCACGTCGCGGGCTCCATATTTTCAGGGATTTTTTTAAATTTAAATTCTACAGTCCTACCTTGAAGTTTAAAGCGGCGATTTTTTTTACAAAACTCTTTGATGATGATAAATTTCTCCATTTAAATCTTTTTTCTTAATCTAGGTGTACCTACCAACTACCAACCTATACTAACTGTGACGCAAAATTGTACTTCAATTATAATAGTGATGGTTCACGATAGATTTTTTTCTTGGAATATTGCTGCTCTGTGTGCACGCCCGCGCTCGCTCCTGTAACGGAGAAGAACGAAAGGGTTTAAGCTTGTCGCAACAAGTTATCTCGAATATTTTATAGGAACTATAGCTTTAGACTTTAGTATCGAGTTTGTTGGTGCGCGACACTGAACAATGTCGTCTTTTCAGTTAGAGTTGGAAAGTTTTACTAGAAAATTACGTGTTTTGAAAAGAGATGTGGACAATTATGTGAACAAGAAGAAGAAGAAGAAGGAGAAAAACAAAAGTATAATAATTAACAAGTGCAAAAACAATTCGAATGTGTACTTTCTTATTAGAAAAATGCGTGAGCTT